ATAATGATACATTTAAGGATGCACAGGTGTAGGAACCAGGCAATGGTTCAAATAAAAATCAGAATGACTGCACACCTACACGTTCAAGTTAAGATGAATGGAATTTGACAGAATACAAGAGATGTAATAGACAGGAGACAATATTCAAATCATAGATATACTTACAAGGTAGAACCTAAGGCAAACCTTGAGGCAACCAGCTGCCCACAGCTGTGCTCCAGAACTTACAAAGCCATCACAGATCCTCTATGATAAAGGTCTTCTTCAAGGTTGGTCTCCCTAGATTGTGTTCAGAATCCCCATCTTACTTGTCAGCTAATTGATTTTGTTATCAAATATTAATTCTCTTCCCTGAAGCAGTAATGGAAGAAGAGCTCTCCTCCTCCTCTCCTCTGTCTGAATTGGTCTGGTTTTTGCCCCGTAAGCATTGTGAGTAGATAAGGCTTCTGACATACTGACATTCTTTGGTTTTAAATTTTGTGGATTTTCCTACTCCATTTGCAACATAAGCTCACACCTCTTCTACTACATAAAGATTTATTACTGAATAGAAGACGGAAACAATAACAGTCTTCAGGTTCAGTGTTCCCAAATGATTTCTGGATCATAGATTTTTAGTCTCTGAGTTCTGATTCTCTTCTAGGAAGCTCTGAGCAACAGCAAAGCTGCTGATGTACAGATTCAGCAGGAAAGTATTTCACCTGCCCACGCTCAGAAAGTTATCTTTAACTGACAAGACATCTGAAGTATTTTTATGCCTATCCCTTTCCTCCCTAAAGACAGCCTAAGGGTTCTTCTAGACATGCAGTAACCTGAGTCTGGACAAACCTTCATGCCACCATTGCAAATCCCTCACAAGTATTTGACTTTACCATCACTAGTCCTAGATACTAATTTTTACTAAGGGCTCATGAATCAAACACACTTCCTGTCTCTACTCCAGATCAATTATTTCCTCCCTTTAGGGGAGGAAAAAAGAGTAAAATTCAAAAGGTGAATTAATTCTAACACTTCGAATTCACATAGCCTGTTAGCCAAAGATTGAAAGGAGGGAGGGGGAAATATTTCACATATGTGGAAAATATATCTTTTCATACATATAACATGGAATATTATGAAATATATATGTTTATTTATATTTCCATATATACACATACATATATATACAGAAAATATTTCTTACATATATATATATAAAACAAAACACTTCTGAGGGAGAAAATTGGAAGTGTGTGTCCAGGCTGACTATGCAAAGGAATCCAGTATCTCCCACCTATTATTTACATAGCAGGATGCTGACATGTATTTTTCCTTTCCATCCCTTTGGCAGCACAGTGAATTTTGTTCAGCATATTAGTATTTTTCATGAGCCATGTGATTGCAACGCTGGTTCCTGAAGTGTGATACAAACACCACTAGTGGCACAAACACGTCTTAGAAGTGCTACAAAGCTTCATACAGAACGGGAAACTGCTGCTGCTCCCAGCACTGTTGTTACACCTGCCTGATGCTGATAGTAATGGCTATAGCCAGGCAAGAAATCTAAGAATCTGTGGGCTACAGTACCCTGCACAAATGTATTATTTCCAAGCCTGAAATCTTAGATTCATTTTTTGAATTTAAAAAGTAGTGCTGAAAAGTCTCTCCCAGATACCACTATAACAATACTTGCCAGCAGGCATCCTTCATGAAGACTGTGGGAAAGTAACAGAAGATCAGTGAGGAGGACTGTAAACACGCTCAAGTGACTGGCACATGGGGTGCTGTAAACACATATATCAGATTAATTGTTGTTTAGTCTTACATACTCAACAAGTAGAACATCTGCACTTAGATAGCATAGGCCTGGGATGGACTCAGGGGCACCTTACTGAACATGCCTGAGATTCCTGCCCTGCTCTTGAAGAAGATCAAAGCACAGCGAAGAACTATGCCTGCCTGAATCCTTGAAATACAGGCGAGAACAGCAAATGTGAGCTCTCATTCTCTTGCCCCCTTGCTAACAAGGACACTCTTGCTAATAAGGACCCTCTCTCGCTCCGTGGTGCCTGTATCCCCTGCTTGCCTGCCTCTGCCCAGGTGCTGCTTCAGAGATTCCACAACCCATGAGGTATCGAGATTAAATTTGTTCTTTGCCTTTCATCCATGGTTTTGTGGTTGTTCCTGCATCAGCTCACACAAAGACATAAATCTGAAACTAAATGAGGGGCAGCATTCTTAGAAAGAACTGGTCTTGGGAGCATTTAATAGCTTTTTGTAAAGAATCAAAACCCAGCCAGTTTCCTGAAAACCTGCAAATCATTAGGAAAGCTCTAACCCTAGTTATCAAATCAATCACACACTTTTTTTTTATATATACACATATATATACACACATACACATGTATATATAGATGCTATTGTTATCCAGACACACTTATTTTTGCTAATGCTGCTATAAAACATTTTTACTTGGCCAAAAGGGTTCCTTTCAGGACCTCGTTTGTAGTGCACTGGGTTTAGTTGGGAAGGAGTTTATTTTCTTCACAGCAACTCATACAGTGCTGTGCTTCAGGCTGGTGAGGAAAGTAATGTTGGTAACACAACCGTGTTTTAGCTACCCAAAGAGATGTCCCATACCATAGAATCATAGAATTGTCTAGGTTGGAAGAGACCTTTAAGATCATCTAGTCCAACCATCAACCTAACTCTGATCAAAAAAAACCAAACAAAAAACCACATCACTAAACCATGTCACTAAGCACTATGTCAACACGCCTTTTGAATACCTCCAGGGATGGTACCTCAACCACTTCCCTGGGCAGCCCATTCCAATGCTTAATAGCCCTTTCACTGTAAAAATTTTTCCTACTATCCAATCTGAACCTCTCCTGGTGTAACTTGAGGCCAATCCCTCTTGTCCCATCGCCTGTTCCTTGGGAGAAGAGACCCACCCCCCCTGGCTACACCCTCATTTCAGGGAGTTGGAGAGAGTGAGAAGGTCTCCCCTCAGCCTCCTTTTCTCCAGGCTGAACACCCCCAGCTCCCTCAGCTGCTCCTCACAAGACTTGTGCTCCAGACCCCTCACCAGCTCCGTTGCCCTTCTCTGGACCCACTCCAGCCCCTCAATATCATTTTTTGTAGTAAGGGGCCCAAAACTGGACCCAGCCCTCGAGGTGGGCCCTCACCAGTGCCGAGTACAGGGGGACAATCACCTCCCGAGTCCTACTCCCCACACTGTTCCTGACACAGGCCAGGATGCTGGTGGCCTTCTTGGCCACCTGGGCACACTGCTGGCTCCTGTTCAGCCAACAGGCGACCAACACCCCCAGGTCCTTCTCTGCCAGGCAGCTCTCCAGCCACTCTGCCCCCAGCCTGGAGCGCTACATGGGGTTGGTGTGACCCAAGTGCAGGACCCAGCACTTGGCCTTATTGAAACTCATCCCATTGGCCTCAGCCCATCGATCCAGCCTGTCCAGATCCCTCTGATCCATGTAGCATCATGTTCAGCAAGAAAGCTGGAGGGTAGTTTTTTCCAAGGTAACCATTGCTTGGGGGTCCAGTGGGCATCGGTCTGTTGATGGTGAGTGATTGCTCATGCATCACTTGGTGGATTTTTTCCCTTCATTTAATAAGCTGTCTGTATCTCAACCCACAAGGCTTTGGGTTTTTTTTCCTCACTTTTGCCCATCTGATTCTCTCCCCCATCCCACTGTGAGAAGTGCATGAACAGCTGGGTTCATTGGGGTCAGCCCACCACAGCTAGGTATGGAGACGCAGTCCAGAGACGTGAAGCATCCCCCTCACATAAGGTAATGATGCTGTTTCGGTCTGCAGCCCAAGGAAGTGAGAAATCATAGGGTAGAATGAAATAAAAAACTGCTACATGGCAGCAGAAGCGATGTCTAGAACAAGAGTATTTATAAAAGTAGACTTTAAGGATGTCTTGTACTCTGAATGCTCATAAGTCAGATGCTCATAAAATTGTTAGTAATTGAACTATTTTCACTACACAACACAGATTAAAAACTTTTAACATCACACCAACTACCTGTATAAGCTTTATCTTACTGAACATGTAACATGAGCACAGGGAACATTTTGCAACACGTATCCAGTTTTCTCTGGGTTCTTTTTTCATCCTGTACCTTCCCCCTGCTGTGTGTGTACCTGTAACCCACTGTCACAGGATTCCCAAGCGACACTTCTGGATCCCAAGCCCTGCTGTGAAGGACAGCCACGCCACACGGCCTTAACTCACGCCCTTATCAAACTCGGTTTTAAAGTCCAGTAAGGCACTGGCCCTCGCTGTTGCTATTGGGAGGCCTGCCTTATTTGGTGGCTCTTTGTGCCTTGTTTGGGTAGAAAATATTCTTCAGATAGGAAAACAGAAAGAGAAATTTACTGACCCTTTCAATCATGTTGGGGTTTGGAGGGTGTTGGTGGTGGATTTTTTCTTCTTCTTTCCTTCAACTTCATTACCAGGACCTTGCTCTTCTGATACCTAAAAACCTCTAATTTATGCTTGGCTGATCTCTATCTGTCCTTGTGCAGCATCATTCACTAGCTTAAAAAACTGCTCTTTCCGCATTTCTTACATGAGACACTTCTATTAACACATCCTAGAAGATATGCAATTCCCGCCCCCCCCAACCATCACATTTTTGGCTCCTGTTTGGTTTACGATGCATTACAAACCAGTTTCTTCTGTGCTGCTGTTCCCCAGTCAGCTGTTCCTCATCTTGTATTTACCCATTTAACTGCCATACATATGAATAAAACCATATGAAAGTACTGTACTGGTTTTCCTTCTCTTTACCAAATTTCCTCTTTTTGACTCGGGAGAACTCCTCCAGTTTATCACGCTGCTATTCAAACGGGACCCTTCCCCTCCAGAGCCCCTTCAGCTCGCACCCTCCCGAGCGGCAGCCCCCGCCCGACTCCTACGACCGTCTGCCCGCGGGGCGGAGGCCTCGGCGGGGCCCGGCCCCTCTCCCAGCTGCGGGCGGGGCCGGGGGCGGTGCGGGCTCAGGCATGGCGGTGGCGGCGGAGCGGGGTGAGCGCCGGCGGGGCGGGGGGAAAACGGATTGGGGCTGCGGGGCCCCGACTCGCCGCTGCCCGCGGGGCTCGCGGCCCCGGGCCCGCCGGTCGCGGCGGGGCCTGCGGGAGGGATGGGCCGAGGGCCGAGGGGAGGGCTGCTGAGGCGAGGCACGGGGGGTGAGGCGAGGCACGGGGGGTGAGGTGGGTCCTCTGTGCCCCGCAGGCTCCTATCGGTTCGTGGTGCTGCTCTTCAACTGCCTCCTCACCTTCGGCTCCTACTTCTGCTTCGACATCCCCAGCGTCCTGCAGGAGCAGTTCCAGGGGGTAAGTGCTGGGGTTTTTTGCCTGGGCTGCGGAAAAAAAAAGGCAAAATCAGCAAAATGGAGGCCTTGGTCACCAGTAGTTTCGAAACCTTCTCTTACGGTGTCAGTCTAGGAGTCGCACTCCGATGTCTGTTCCAGAGGCTGGGGGTGAGGGGTTGTTACTGGCATGTTTGCTGTGAAGAAGGTGCTCAAAGCTGGGACAGGCTGTGAGACAGTTGAGTTCTTGCTGCTTCCTGGAGAACTGGAAATCTCAAACTTGACCTTGCTTAGCTCTCCATCCAAACCACTGTTATGCTAATGGAGTTCAGAGCCGGAATAGTGGTCACGCTACTCTGCATGTACAGATACATTGAACTGACTCTTAGTACTCACACTGGACTGGGATACTCATGATGTTCGAGGCAGGGGAGTAGAAAGGATTCCTGATACTGCAGGTACCAAATCATGTGTTCATTTGGTAGCCAAAAGACAGAGCTATGCAAGGAGATCACAGGAGGACTCTGTCTTGTAAAAACTACTAGTTTCACAGAATTATAGGGGTTGGAAGGGACCTCTGGAGATCATCCAGTCCAACCCCCCTGCCAGAGCAGGTCCACCCACAGCAGGTTGCACAGGAATGTGTCCAGGTGGGTTTGAATGTCTCCAGAGACAGAGACTCCACCACCTCTCTGGGCAGCCTGTTCCAGGGCTCTGCCACCCTCAAAGTGAAGAAATTCCTCCTCATGTTTAGATAGAACTTCTTATGTTCCAGTTTGTGCCCATTTCCTCTTGTCCTGTCAAGAGGACACCCCTGAAAAAAGACTGGCCCCTTCCTCTTGACACTCACCATTTATAAGCATTGATAAGATCCCCCCTCAGTCTTCTCCATACTAAAAAGACCCAAGTCCCTCAGCCTTTCCTCATCGGAGAGATGTTCTAGTCCCCTCATCATCTTTGTAGCCCTCTGCTGTACCCTCTCCAGCAGTTCCTTGTCCTTCTTGAACTGGGGAACCCAGAGCTGGACCCAGTGTTCCATCTGTGGCCTCACCAGGATAGAGCAGAGGGGAAGGATGACCTCCCTCCACTTGCTGGCCATGCTCTTTTTAACATACCCCAGGAGACCATTGGCCTTCTTGGCCACAAGGGCACATTGCTGGCTCATGGTCCCCCTGTTGTTCACCAGGACTCCCAGGTCCCTCTCTGTAGAGCTGCTCTCCAGCAGGTCACCCCCAACCTGTACTGATGTGTGGGGTTATTCCTCCCCAGGTGCAGCACCCTACACCTGTCTTTGTTGAACTTCATTAGGTTTCTCTCTGCCCAGCTCTCCAGCCTGTCCAGATCTCATTGGATGGCGCTACAGCCTTCTGGTGTGTCAGCCACCCCTCCCAGTTTTGTATTCTCAAAATCCTAGTATTCTTAAATGCTAGAAAATTTTGTTGTTCGGGGTTCGGACTGCTATCCCAGTTGATTTCTGAGATTTTTCCAGGGATGCCAGAGTCCCAGAGTTCTCGCTTGACTTCCTGAGTACCTGGCAGAAATTCTTACTTGACTCATTTATCCGTCATAATTGCGTTTGTTTCATGTCTTTTGAGAGCTGATTTTCTTCATGTGTGCCATCTGCTGGTAGATTAGTATGTGTAGGGTGAGAGTCACTGTCCTATTCTTTGTCTGCTTCATTAGCAAGGGCAGAAACATATATAGCTTGCATGTAACTTGGTTTGTTTTTAAATGCAGTTAATCCATAAAATTCAGTGAACTCCAGGCTAAATTGGGTGCAGTTTGTCATTGCAAACAGGAGTAAAAAGAAAAAAAAAAAAAGTCAGTATTTATTTGTTGATCTTCTACAACGTCTGTGGGAGAAGAGTGTATAGGACAGATTGTGTCATATTTTGTTACCTATGTAACTTTATAGGGTAGTGAAACCAAGCAATATTTTTCTGTGTTAGGTACTGTGCAAACAGTGTTTTTATATGCTGACACTCTCATAATATTTTCATTCCGGGGAATTTAGCCTCTACCCGCTTACACAAGTGGTATAGTGGTAGTCAGAGCATCTAAGACCAGTGCTTCCAGTGAAAACACTTTGTTCGAGAGAACTGTTTCCCCTCAGCCTTGGACATTTCTACTACAGCAGATGTGACGGGTTTGTAAACATGATCATGGAATCATTTAGGTTGGAAAAGACCCTTAGGATCATCAAGTCCAACCATCAACCCTACTCTACAAAGTTCTCCCCTACACCATATCCCCCAACACCGCATCTAAATGACTCTTAAACACGTCCAGGGATGGTCACTCAACCACCTCCCTGGGCAGCCTATTCCAATGCCCGACCACTCTTTCTGTGAAAAATTCTTTCCTAATGTTCAGTCTAAACCTACCCTGTTGGGTTCCTCTCATTCTGTCCCTAATTACCTGCGAGAAGAGACCAGCACCAACCTCTCTACAGTGTCCTTTCAAGTAGTTGTAGAGAGTGATGAGGTCTCCCCTCAGTCTCCTCTTCCTCAAACTAAACAGTCCCAGCTGCTTCAACTGCTCTTCATAAGGTTGATGCTCCAGCCCCCTCACCAGCTTCGTTGCCCTCCTCTGCACTCGCTCCAGCACCTCAATATCTCTCTTGTATTGAGGTGCCCAGAACTGGACGCAATACTCCAGGTGTGGTCTCACCAGTGCCGAGTACAGGGGGACAATCACCTCCCTACTTCTGCTGGTCACACTATTTCTAATCCAAGCCAGGATACCGTTGGCCTTCTTGCCCCCCTGGGCACACGGCCGGCTCATATTCAGCTGCTTGTCAATTAGAACCCCCAGGTCTTTTTCTGCCAGACAGCTCCAGCGACACTTCCCCAAGCCTGTAGTGGTGCAGGGGGTTATTGTGGCCCAAGTGCAGGACCTGGCACTTGGCCTTTTTGAAGCTCATGACATGAATGTTGGCCCAGTGATCCAATCTATCTAAGTCTCTCTGTAGAGCTTCCCTATCCTCCTGGGAATCAACACTCCTGCTTAACTTGCTGTCATCTGCGAACTTGCTGATGATACACTCTATGTCCTTATCGAGATCATCAATAAAGACATTAAACAGAAATGGTCCCAACACTGAGCCCTGAGGCACACCACTAGTGACCGGCTGCCAGCTGGATTTAAATCCATTGAGCACCACTCTTTGGGACCGTCCATCCTGCCAGTGCTTGATCCAGCGGATCATATGCTCATGCAGGCACTGTGCAGCCAGTTTTCCCACAAGAATTCTATGGGGGACAGTACTGAATGCTTTTCGAAAGTCTAGGTATACAATATCCACAGCCTTTCCTTCATCTAATAATCAGGTCATCTTGTCATAGAAGGAGATTAGGTTCGTCAGGCATGACCTGCCTTTCATAAACCCATGCTGACTAGGCCTGATCCCCTGGTTGTCCATTATATGGCTTGTGATGGCACTCAACCTGTTCCATGACCTTCCCTGGTATCGAGGTCAGACTGACAGGTCTGTAGTTTCCTGGATCCTCCTTTTTGCCTTTCTTGTAGATGGGTGTTACATTTGCCACCCTCCAGTCCATTGGGACCTCTCCAGTCTGCCATGACTTCCTGTAAATGATGGAAAGTGGCTTGGTGAGCATGTCTACCAACTCTTTCAGCACTCTTGGGTGTAGCCCATCTGGTCCCATAGACTTGTTTGCATCCAAGCAGCGTAGCAGGTCACTGATCTCTTCCTCTTTAATTGTGATGCCCTCATTCTGCTTCCCCTCCCTGTCTCCTAGCTCATGAGGCTGGGTGTCCAGGGAATAGCTAGTTCCACTGCTAAAGACTGACGCAAAGTAGGTGCTGAGCACCTCAGCCTTCCCCTCATCCTTCGTGACTATGTTTCCCTCTGCATCCAATAAGGGAGGGAGATTTTCCCTAATCCTCCTTTTGTTGTTAATGAATTTATTTTTAATTATCCTTAATGGCTGTGGCTAGGTTGAGCTCTAGCCGTGCTTTAGCTCTCCTAATTTTCTGCCTGCATAGCTTCACTACATCTTTATAGTCTTCATGAGGGACCTGCCCCCTCTTCCAAAGGTCATAGACTCTCTTTTTGTTTTTGAGATCCGGCAAAAGATCCCTATTTAGCCAGGCTGGTCTCTTAGCCCGCCTACTTGTTTTTCGGCATACAGGGACGGCCTGCTCCTGTGCCTTTAAGACTTCTTTCTTGAAGTATGTCCATCCTTCCTGGACTCCTGTATCCTTAAGGGCATCCTCCCAAGGGATTTTGTCTAGCAGTCTTCTGAACAGATTAAAGTTTGCCCTCCGGAAGTATAAGGTGGCAGTTTTGGTAACCCCTCTCCTTGTTTCTCCAAGGATCGAGAACTCAATCATCTCATGATCACTGTGCCCTAGACGGCCTCCAACCTTTACTTCCCCCACAAGTTCTTCCCTGTTTGCAAGGAGCAGGTCCAGGAGGGCTCTTTCCCTGGTTGGCTCACTTATCAGCCACATGAGGAAGTTATCCTCCACACATTCCAGGAACCTCCTGGATTGTTCCCTGTCAGCCGTGTTGTGTTCCCAGCAGATATCGGGGAGGTTAAAATCCCCCACAAGAACAATGGCAAGTGACTGCGATATTTCTCCCAGTTGCTTATAGAAGGCTTCATCCACCTCACTGCTTTGGTTGGGAGGTCTGTAGCAGACTCCCACAGGGATATCACCTTTATTGGCCCTTTTCCTAATCCAAACACTCTCGACCCCATTATCACTATACTTAATTTCTGAGCTCTCATAGCATTCTCTAACATACACGGCCACTCCACCACCTCTCCTTTCCTGTCTATCTCTCCTGAAGAGCTCGTAGCCATCGATTGTGGCACTCCAGTCATGTGAGGCATCCCACCACGTTTCTGTGATAGCCACTATGTCATAGTTTTCCTGGTGCATCATGGCTTCAAGCTCCCCCTGTTTGTTGTTCATACTGTGTGCATTGGTATAGATGCACTTGAGACGAGCTAATGGTTCCAACATCTTTTTGTGAGTTTATTTTCCCCATCTCCTACAGGACCCCTCTCAGGTGTTTCCATAATTTCTATGTGTCTATCACTTCTCTCAAATGAAATGGTAGAGCAAGGGTCCTTCCTAGTCCACCATCCCTCAAGCCCTGGCGTGTTTCCCTTGGGTTTAATTCTAGCAGGCCCAGTTATCTCCCCTTCCCCCCTCGTATCTAGTTTAAAGCCCTGTCAACAAGCCCTGCTAATTCCTGCCCCAAAATTCTTTTCCCCCTCTGGGACAGGTGCATCCCACCTGCCACCAGCAGCCCAGGTGTCTCATACAGCAGCCCGTGATTAAAAAACTCAAAGCCCTGCCGATAGCACCAGTCCCGGAGCCAGGAATTGACCCGTTTTCTCTTCCTGTTAATTTCCTCACTTATGATAGCCACTGATGGGATAGAGGAGAACACAAGTTGTGTTCCCAGTCCCTTAAGCACCCATCCCAAGGCTCTAAAATCTCTTTTAATTGATTTTGGACTGTATGAAAATCACATGGCTAAAATCACACTTGCCTCATGCTTATTCAAGATGATAAACTTGTGCCTACTAATGTGGAAGACCTGATGTCCATTTCCTAATGCAGATAGCTTTTTAGTAGTTGGAAGATCTAGGGTTTTTTCCTGATCATATGGTGTTGAGAAAAGGTTGCTTTTCAGTAGTAAACCTGACGTTATTAAGTCATGATAGGACTACCAGTTTCCTACTGTTCAGCGAATGCTTTATAGCTGTGAATTACTAAGCTGTGGACTACTGCTAAGTTTCATATTTACACGCTGCTTAACACTTTATAGAATGGAATAAAGAGTCATATCAAGCTAAACTATAGCCAAGAAACTAAGGGATCAAATAAACCTCATGGTGCAGTCTCCCGGCTTTTCTTTTGAACTGAAATGCATACAACAGTGCTGAGCTACTACCACAGCAAGGGAAAGGGAAGATGTGACATGCTGATGGCCAGTCGTTTCTCATTTGGCAAGGGCTAGCTTCCTGGGAGAAGACACAAGTCCCCTAATTCCCGATTGTGGAAGTGGAAACTGAGTAGGAGTTCTTCATTTTTAAAAGAGGCAAGAACTTCATTTTTAAAGGAGTGTGTGGCTCTTCATCTGTGTCTGCTGCCTAACACAGGCTCTGTGATTTGTTACGCAGAACTTGACCTGCCCAAATGGAACCCATCATAACAGCACTGGGCATAACAGCACGCTGGAATGTGTTGAAGGCTTGGGAATGGCACCTGCTCAATACAATTTGCTGTATGCGATCTATGCTTGGACGTAAGTCACTTCTCTCTTGCTTTAAGGGGGTGGGGTAGTTTCCTAGTTGCTTCCCAGCAGCAAGACACAAATGTTTCTGTTCTTCCTTTCTCCTAGAAATGCGGTAGTGGTTATTCTGGCTGGATTCCTGATTGATAAACTAGGAAATCGCTGTAAGTTCTGAGGATCAATTAATTTATTCTTGTACTGAAGTGGGCTTTCAGGCTGTTCTTTTGGTGCAAAGACTTGATCAAAGGTTCGACTTCAGTAAGATCCCAGAGGGCTGGAGGGATAGCTCTGTGTGCGGAGGGCATGACGGTTACTTGGGCAACTCCACAAAAGCAAGTGAGATATTTTCATCATTTGACCGCTGACTTACCTGAGTTTACACAGCAGTGCAGTAAACGTGCCTTCCTCTGACATGCACATAACAGGGAAGAGCATTATCTGTTTTCAATGGGACAAACTGATAAAGTAGTGTTCTGCTCTCTGCGCTGACATTTGTTCTGGCATGTGCCCAGCAGTCCCAGCAAAGGCAGTTGTGCTCCATCTCTGTATCACAGAGGTAGATATCTTACAAATGAGGAGACAGAGGAGGAGGTGGCTTGCTCTAGGCCATAATCTGTAGGGGAGCTCAGGACAGGAACAGGGACTCTATAGCCAAGTCTTCTTTCTGATTTATTTGGCCTCATGCCTTCCACCTTAATAATGCCATGATTATTTTGAGGATTCACAGGTCATTTTATGAAGAGAGCAGTCTTTACAAAAATAAAATAATGAGGGTAAACAGGAAGCCCACAGGTTTACTGACATGATTTTGCTTTTTGACAAAGAATGTTTTTGTCCCGATCTCAGCATGTCTGTTGAGGCTTTATGTATTTTTTTTTTCTCTTTCTCCCTAGTTGGTGTCTTTGTTTTCTCTCTTCTGACTGTGTTGGGATCATCAATATTTGCTCTAGGCTCACATTTCAAGGGATCGCCATACCTCCTACCCATGATGCTAACAGGAAGGCTGCTCTTTGGCTCCGGGAATGGGTCACTTACTAGTAAGGAATTCACATTCTTAATTTTGCCTCACCAGAGGGTCATGATACATTTTTATTTTGTCTCCTAGACCCTTGTCCTACCAGTAAGCTTCACCTGCTCTGCACCAGCGACCTACATTGCTAACAAGAACGCTGCTCCTTGAAGGGTTGCATGGATTTACAGAATCACAGAATTATCTAGGCTGGAAGAGACCCTTGGGATCATCGAGTCCAGCCATTTAACTTGTGCCAAAATGTTTAAAAATCTTCCCCTCGAACAAGTTTGTCCTTCTCCCAAGGGTGGGGACTGACATGTGTTTGCTATGCTTTTGGGGTTGTTTTTGCTTGCCTTATTTGAGGGATAATTTTACCGCCATGTCCCAGCGTGATGTAGTACATTTTAAAATGGACTGCGAAGTCAACACGTACTACCTCCCCTTGGGATGCGTAGAGGCCTCAAGCACTCGAGCTTGAGAGGCTGTGTTTGTTGCTGTGTTGCACAGAGTGCAGTGTTCTTGACCAAGTCTGCCTGTTCAAGGGAGAATTTTTGTCTTCTCCAAGTTGTGCAGAATCGTATCACAGCCTTCTGGTTCAAGGGGAAGGAACTGGCACTGGCATTTGGACTGACTCTGTCTTTCTCCCGTCTTGGGAGTGTCCTCAACTTCTTCTTCACCCAGCAGTTTGAGGCAAAATTTGGAATGCAGTGGACGCTCTGGGGTGGTGAGTTTCTTTGGTGCTTTGGCCTTTTGTTTTCTAGGCCTGAGGCTAGCTTGTTTTGTCCCATTATGAAAAGTACCTAAAAGAGATGGTGAAGTTGGCAGGAGGAGGCACATTATTTTCCAGTTTTTCCTGTTGCTATCTGTGTGCAATGGAGTGGTGTTTTCTTCTTTGATGCCTGAAAACTCTCTCTAAAGCTGTAGTGTCAGCCCGGCAGTTTTGTCTGCAGTTTTCTTGAGACATTTTAACATTTGCAATCCCAGGTAGTCATGACACTTCAGAGTGAAACAAAGGAGGAATCTAATGTGTGTGTTCTTCTGTATTTTAGCTAGTAGAACATGCAGGTTCTGTAGTAGCATCTGAATTGGTCTCAGGTTAAGGTGCCTTGCGTGATCAAAACCGTAGGTTTAAATTACTGTGAGAAGCAGAATCTGAATTACATGTTTTTCAGTGAATCTGTTCTGGGGCTCCTATCTTTAGAAGATTTGAGTTTCTGTCCTCTCTTTGGTGCAGCGAGAGGGGTTCTGTCTCTGGTGGAAGAGATGATCTGTTTCACGCTGCAGTTGAGCAAGGGGCCTTCGGGTGCTCTGGTGTGCTGGAATGGTGAGGGCAGGGAGGCCTGCCTCAGGCCATCAGTGATTATAGGAAAGACTCAGTGTCTGGGAGTGTTATTTCCCAGACAACGAAACAGTATGGTCTGTAACCCTGGAAAAGAGAATGCATATGTGAGAGAAATCTTTTGCAGAAGTTGAAACCCATTGCTCTCCCTGATTCCAGCTCTCAGAGAAGAAACTGTGACAGGCCTGGTGTGTCACACCCCTGACACTATTAGTTTCATTCTCAGGCAGCATTTGCAAGCGCAGTACAGTGACTTCAGTAGCCCGTGAAGGGATAGATACATCAGACAAAGTGTGTGTGCATCACAGAGATTGTTTTGGCTCTTTGGAAAACAAAAACCAGATACAGATCTCTTTCTGAGCGAAGGATGTCTGCAGCAGATGCCTGTTGCCAAACTTGCTTCTGGCATACCCAGCATAATCTGACTCGCTTCTCTGGAGTGTGCTGGCGGGTCAGATTACTGTTTAACTGCAGTAGAGCTAAGACTTGGCTTCCAGTACCAGCCCGTCTGCAGTACCCCTGCTGCTGAGGGGACTATGGAAGTTTGTCAATGTCTGGCTTGTTTTAACCTTGGGTTTGTCATGCACAGAGCTGCTGCAGTTCAGAAGGCATTCTGGACACAGTCCAACAAAGTGGCTATCTTCAGAGATGGCTGGGGCTTTAGCTTTGCTGGCCACAGGCAATTCTGCAGCACGTTGGAAGCTTAGGGAACAAAAAGCTCAAGGACTTTGACAGGGTGGTCAGAGGTAGATTGTCCTGCTCTATGGCTGCAGTAGGGAAGGCTGTTAACATTAAGAGAAGCCAGGAGCAGGAGTCCTAGAGAATTCTATATATTAAATGTGGTTGGTTTTGTCATTCAGCTGTCTCCATGTTGGGCAATTTTTTAACCCCTCCTTGTGTCTTTTCCAGGTACCCTGCTCTGTGTGCTTGGTTTTGTTTCAGCCCTCACAGTCAGTGTACTAGATAAAGTGGGCACGAAGCAACTGGGCTTGGATGGGGTTATCCAGCAGGAGGCCAAAAAAGTGGTATGTGGTGCACAAGACAGCTTTTCCATCTGCACCTTTGAGAGCCTGGGGTGCATGAGCACTGCTGTTGCAGTGCATGGAAGCCTGCAGCCGTAAGAGCTCGTCCTGGCCAGGAGAGGGCATTAACAGCACAATAACACCAGTAATAGTTCTTCAGCTACATCTTGACGATATTGCATCTGCAAGCCACCAGACAAGTGTCAGTTTTCTGTTTTGAGCCTATGTATTTGCAGTCTTCCAGAGAGCAGAGTTAGCACTCTGAACGGCAATTACTTTTCTGAGCCAGTTACTTCTTGACTGTAGCTGGCTCAGAGGAGGATTTTGTTTATAAAACCGGATAGTAGCCTCTTGCTGGAACTGCTTTCTGGCTCACAGGATCCGTGAGAGAAAATAGTTAATCTGGTCAGTACTCAACTATCTTTTGTCAGACCCTGTCTTCCATTCCTCTTTTCATTCTTCTGTCTAGGAACAAGTATTACAGACAATAGGTTGCAATTTTTATGGCACTTAAATCTATTAGACCACTTCCTTCTCATGACAGTATTCTTACAGTTTTCTCTAGGTCATTGTTGTGACTCCTGTTTATACTCCTGTTTCACTTAAGGTTTTGTAGTAGGCTCTTAATAGAGCCTGCTTAGAAATAAGAAAGCTTTTTTTGTTGTTTTCTTTACTGAATAGTGTTAAAGAAGGAATGCTTTGGAGTCAGCACATACCAAATTTTGCTTGAAGGACGCGAGCTGCTTTTTAATTCTCTTTTACCTGCTGTTACTACTTTTTTTTTTTTTTTGTGACCTTCAGTTGCTTGCAGAAAGTGACATTAGTGTGAAGCTGAAGACTTATTTCCTGGTGAGTGAGAGCACATCTTATCTTTGCAGCGGATTCAGGACATCCGGCGACTTCCCCTTCGCTACTGGCTCCTGGTCCTCACCATCATGTTCTTCTACAATGGAGTCTTCCCCTTTGTGGCAGATGCCAGGTATTGCTCTATGGCTGTTATCCCACTGACCGATATGAGGCTACCAGAGCCTTGCAGGCCCTTGATTTTTGGCTGACTGGGAAGTATGGGGGCAATGTGCATGTTTCTTCCAGTCATGAAACACAGCAAAACGTATCTTTAATACCTAGATAAGGATAGGAGGGTTCTTTGACCTTTCTTTCCTTTCAAAGACAAGGGATGCTTCTGAAGGAAAGCAAAAATAACTCAAAGGGAAATGAGTCATTCAATATTTAAAGCTTGGAACACTGCTAAAGGAGGATCAGAAGGATTTGGGAGAAGGGAAAGAAATACTTTATTTTAAAAATAGCGCATAGACTTTTCACCTTTGTGAGAGTCCAACAAAGTGGCTGCCTCTTGAGTGGGGTGGGGTGTTGGCTTCACAGGTCTGGGGCAGTTCTGTCCTGCAGTTCCTGCATGTTATCTACTGTGTTTGGATAAAAGCTAAGCTTGTGTCAGCCTGGGTTTGTATGTGAGGAAGCCTTGGCATCCCAGTACAAGGCTTGCAGACTTCCTCTTTTATGCCTTCATTTACTTAAAACAAAGAAGCAACCCGCCCAAGTAAATTAGGACTCCTACTTCTGTCCTGTGGCTCTGCCACAGACCTGTCATTTTGCTGCTTTTTTCCTGTTTATGGATGATGCAGCTTCTGTCACATAATGAGAACAAACTTTTGTATTAGCAAAGGCCTGCAGTAAAAAAAAAAAAAAAATATTTTGGTAGTATGGTAGTATTGCATTAATGATGTATAAGCAAACCAGTGTGAAATCAGCAGTGAAGAAATGTCACGAACATTGTCATAGCAAATGCGCAAGTGACCTCTTACTAGTAAAATAAAGACGTTCACGATGGCAAGGATCATCAAGACCTTGATGAGATGGGCTTTCTGTCAGTTGCCCTCTCATTTTGTTTGAAAACAGCATCTGTTGATCACATAGAATCCTCATTTCCACAATTCTGCCTCCTTGCAAAACTATTTTTTTACTCCCCGTGGAGCAAAAGTTCAGGCACTAAGAGTCATGTTTCACACCTCTCTTCTAACAAAAAAGTCTATGCTGCTTCCCATTTGGAAAAATAATGGTCCTAAGGCCACTGCTCTTTGGTGAATTCTGCTGCAGCAAATTTCCAGGGAGCAGTGTTCTGTTTCATACTTTGTTGACAGCACAGGCTATAGAGGCTCATTATTACTCATGGTAAGTTAGCCTTGCAAGGAGCCAAACCAGGTTTGAGCAGCTACAGGATAGCTAAATAAACTAGTCTTTCTAAACTCTTATGACTGTATAACTGTAAATTCTGTAAATAATTTGGGTAAGTTTTAATGCCATTTTTGCGTGTCCCTAACAAAAGTGAAAGGCAGACTTCTGACAATGAAAACAAAACTTGGGTTTCTGCTTTAACCTTAAGTCTCCTTAAAGATGCCAAGGGGGAATTTCGAGTACTTCTAAAATGCAGGCATTCCATTGAAATGCTGATTTTTGCTGCTGGATTACTTTAAAATATTTTTCTTGCCCCTCAGCATTCTCACTCTTGGATTGATAATGCTTTGTGCTTCAAAAAACATGTAAAAAATCTGGCCATATCTTTTGGACAGGTGATGTCATTGAACATATGCCCAACTTTAACCTGCAGTTTTACTCTGCACTCGCAGAAACGGCCATTTAAGAAAGCAGCCGTTTAAGCTACCAGCTTCTCTATGGTGTGCACCAATTAAAAAGAAAATAAAACAACAAAGGCTTGGCACTACAAACCAGATAGAATCAAACTTGTTCACAGGTCCTCTCATTAAACCACTTCCTGTCTGTATGTTGTGCTCAGAGTTACTTTCTGTCAAAATAACCAGATCAAGTATCCTAATTATGTCATTCCCCCCTCCCCCCCCATTTTATTTTTAGCAAGTTTATCCAGGATAAATATTCTGGTTACAGCCAGCAGGCAGCCGCTTATATTGCTGGAGCAGTGTATGACAGCTCCCTCCTCTTCTCTGCAGCAGTTGGCATATTAATTGTGAGTACCCAAAACCAAATGTGCTTTCTGATAACCTTTTCCTCATTTTTTTAAAATGTCTTCATTACAACCCCCTCAAATGGACTTTAGTCTGAATTAAATTACAAGAAATAATGTTAACCTGTTTTTCCCTCTGTCCCTTAATTGTGCTATGGTAGTGCTAATGCATGGCAAGTGGTTGTGTTTTTTGAAAAGTCTGAGACTGGAACAGAAAGGATTGGGATAACTTTTGCATGTAGATGGGAAAGGACAACCTCCGTGTAATCAGTGCCTGTTCTGTCAAACTCTTCCTTTCCTTATTTCTGTATTTGTCAGGGCATAGTGGCATGGTTTGTCTCCCCCGCCTGCCATTTCACATGAATACTGGTGCTGACGAGTGTTTCAGTTGGTTCAGGCGTATGCAAGAGAAACTAGGAAGAGCTGGTCTCCTCCTGTTACTGCCACTTGTGCCAGCCCTCTTTGGGCAGCCACACATGCCACTGTGATCTCTGGGAAGCAGGAATCCCTTCTGTTTGTTTTCTTTACCAGGACTACGTTGGGCTGAGAGGCATCTTTGCTGTCGGCTGTGCTGCATTGACTCTGCCAGTCTTCGCTCTCCTGGCGTTTACCTTTGTTCCTCCTTTAGTCTCTACCATCTGGTTGGGGATTACTTACTCCTTTGCTGCTGTAAGTTCACAACCCGACTGCTGTACCTGCGTGGTTTGTGTCTGTGCTCCTCCTGCATCCCGGATGGCGGCGATCGCTGCCAGCCTGTCCTGATGAGGGCGTTTAGTAGCCAGTTTGAAGTCACTGGCTCTCCATTCCTGAGGACTTTGGTTACTAGCAAATAACCCCAAAGAATCAATATGGAACAAAATGCAAAGGGGAGTAAGGGACAGTTTGATACAGTGTGACATGTTAATCTGTTTATGCTTTTTGTAGTGCTTTTTCACCTTGAATGTAACAAGGTGATTCTCCTGATTCTCCTTTGAGTCTTATAAGCTAAATCATCAGTTCTAACTGTCCTTCAGAAATGTGGAGTCGGGTTTATTCCAGTTTCAAAGAACATGTGTTGTCTATACTGGCTCAAGCTACTTGAGAAGGATGGGGAAGAGTCTAAAACCAGCCAGTAGGCTGGGAGGGATAAATAACATTTATATTTTTTTTTAAGAGAAAGTATAAATGTTTATTTAGTGGGAATAATGGCTTTTTAAACCAATGACCATCTAACACCTTTAAACAAGATTTCAAATTAATTCCTCTTCTCATTACTCCTGCCAGGCTAGTATGTGGCCATCCATACCACTTGTGGTCCCCCAAGCAAGTTTAGGGACAGCTATGGGGCTTGCAACTTGCATGCAGATGATTGGAGTTGGCCTTTCGAATCTGATTGTTGGCCACATTCTAGGAACAAAGTCCAGGTGAGAATGCTTTTTTCTTTTTTTTTCCCCAAGCAGAGGCACCAGCAGTGTTTTCAGGGAGTGCCTCGAGTATCTTCGTGTTACTAGTTGTTCTATCCTGTTCTGGCCTTTACTAGTGAATTAAAGATCCCTCTGTGGCGCTGGCAATGGATGATGATCTTTATGTTGGCAAACACTATTGCATGTCTCGCTGCCTCCATTAGCCTCAATGTTGTGGACAAGAAACAGGTAAGTGTGATAAAAGGTGGAGAAAGCCTTGCGTCACTGAGCTGTTTTATCAATGTCATAGCTGTTGGCTGCATATATAAGCAAATCCCCCCCCCTCCAAAAACGGGACTGCATAAGAGAACTATCTGCTTCAGTATTGCTGCAGCACACATGAGTCTTGCCTCCTATCAAGCTATTAGTGGCTGCATTTTTTTGCAAGGAGGCAGGGGAAGGGCCAGGGCATACCTGTAGCACCAGTGTGTGCGCACAATCTGCTGTTTGTCACTAATCACTGCTTTGAACTTCCAGGGTGGGACACTGAACCGAACAAGGAAGGGTGCCCCTGTGGAGCAGGAGGAGAGAGCCCCTGCAGATGCAGCGCCGCTCCTCGACGATGAAACGGGAACCAAAGGCTCCGTCAGCTGAACCTTTGCAGTGCGAGGAGCAGTGACAGCTGCCAGACACAGCACTGATCGCCTCTGTTTGAAAGTGGATTTTTACCTTGTGTGTGTTAAACATCTTTAAAGGGAATCGTGAAAGGAGTTGTCTACAGGAAGGGAATATTTCCACTTATGCCTTGGACATAATGAGAGGTGTCTGCTGTGTGGTTCTGAGGCACTCTCCAACACACAGAAACCTGCCTGGGGCACTTTTAAGAACAACAGAATAGTAAGTGACACTAACTTAGCTGCAGCTTGTGCATAAGCTGTTAGATAGTTGTGTTTCACTTTGCATCAAAACTGCCTGTGTGAGGTGTGCCTGCTGTGTGCACCACTCGTTCTCCCTCACAGGAATCCTGTACATCAGCACTTGCTAATCCCAGACCTCGGCAGGTCTCCTGTTTTGCTTACTCCTCCAAAGCAGCGTGCATCTTTCACAAATTACATATCCACATGAGTGCCACCATCATTATTCTTTAGGCAGGAGCCTGAATTAATCAAATTGATTACCTTTTGCACACAAGCCTAGCTAAATTGCTTATTACACTACTAGAAATGCTTCTGTAAGCCTTGCCTATTCATTTGCCTTCCAAAGCATAAAAGTGTTTGATCTGAAATTCTGTCTTTTAGATGACAGTGCTCTTACTCATGAATGCTAGAGGCTTGTTTTACTCAGGCAGCTTGCCATTTTCACTATGCAAAATACTCACAAACACTCCTACGGTGTTTACAAAAGGTCCTTTAAGAATGAAGTAAACTTTAACATAGCTAGGTACAAGGAATGCTGAAGTGAATGACTTCTTATGTAAATGATTACACATCCTTAAGTGAAAGAGCAGCTCTGCTCAAGTTACATTTAATATAAACACTAATAGATTAAAAGCAATTTAGGCACTGACAGCATTCAATAGTCATCCTTAAAACCCACCCATCAAAGCAAAGTTTTCTTAAACTGATTTACTGAAGAGAGTGTTCAGAGACCAACATCTTCTAAATGTTAAGTTACACTGTGAATTCATTGCAGACCACAGACAATTAAAGGATTGGTGCAGCAGAAATGTTGGGGTGAGGTGAGAAGTCACAAAACTGCAAAATCACAAGACTCCTTTAGTTTGTCGGTGACCTCCTGAGACCATTGAGTCCAGCACTCCCTGCTTGGGCCCGTGGTTTAATTTGTGCCTATTGTCTCTGGTCCAGAGAAGAGTTTGGCTCCCTTGTCTTCCCTCTCTCTCAGCAGGTCCCTTGAACACACTGGTAAGATCTCCCTGAGTCCTCCCTTCTCAAGGCTGACCAGCCCCAGCTCTCTCAGCCTTCTCTCCTAGGAGAGGTGCTCCAGTCCATCTACCACCTTCGTTGGCCACCACTGCCCTCCCTCCCCAAGTCACAGCTCGGTGCTCCCTACAAGGCCTCACCAGTGTTTCCATTCAGCTGGACCGTACCTTTACATGCCTCAGCCTCTGCTCCCAGTGCTGCTCTTCTGTGCTCAAATCATAGTGAAAGAAAATCCCATGGTGACTTTACAAAATGCTATTATTAAAAAATCACACGCAGCAGTAACTATACGCTCATGTTGGAGGCTTGTATACAGAAGAACCTATGCGTTCAACAGAATTGATGTTTCCCCTCAATGCTACCAACACCTGGCTTCAAAGCAGTGACTTCAGCCTGGCTGGCAGGAAGTCATCAGCTTCCTCAGTTCATACCAGGTGACGCTCCAGCTGAACTCAATGGGGCTGTTCCTGTAATGAGTGCTGGGATACCAACTGAGTCCTGTACTTGATTCATCATGGAAGAAGCTCAAAAACTAGCCATTCCCGTTTGCCATAATCTACTTACAAATTACCAGAAAAACTTCACTCTTCTGTTTTAATGAAGAGTTGTGACATACTTTCCTTAAATCTGCCACTGGTTCACAAGGTTCCCGATGAGGTCTGTCTCACTGCCTGCTCTATGAGGTTTTGCCATGGAGCATTCCTGCGCATTCCCACCTACAGGGAGAACTGCAGTTGGCTACAGCAGATGGGGATCCCATTATACAAAGATCCTTGCACAGGCTTTTAAGCACCCTTTCCTATAATCTGAAGATGTCAGGAGATTCTAGTGACCTTCAAGGCAGTTGCACAAAAAGCATCTCCAGGTTGGGAGGATTCTACCAGAGCCTCTTAACAGCAAAGGCTTGTTCTTAAAAGACTGCTCCTGCCTTTTAGCTCAGATGAATAAAGCTTGAAGCTGACTTAATAACAGCAAAGAGGCAGAGGTACTTCTGCACCAGTACCTGCCCATTGCCATTAGAGTTCATCAACAGCTTCCTGTTGCACCTGTGTAACTGCCTTTTTTTTTTTTTTCATTAATTACTCCACCGATGATAGCAAAGCCACCTTCACTTTGCCTGGCTTCTTGATTCTTGGCTTGACACCTGCTGTTGAGATGCCAAACTCACTTCTCAGAAACTTTTTACAAAGTAATTGCAGGGCTCTCTGCTTTGAGCTCTTCATGAAAATGAAGGGGTGGCATTCACAGAGGTCAGCACACTGCAAGAAATGGAAAGAAACAACCAGCTGGTTTTGTTTAATAGTTGCAGTGTTGCACCGCTGCTGTATACAGGTAACCAACCCCCCCAGCCCTCACCCCTCTCCCAGCCTTGGGCAACCCCGGGAAGGGTAAGCTCTTTTCAACAACATCCTTTGGCAGAACCTGCCTCTGGTGTAAGACACAGTCCACTGCAACTCCTAACATATAAACTGTGAAACTTTAAAGTGAACTTTAGTTCAGGCAACTCACATCGAGGTGGATTTTTTTATTATATTTTTTTTTGCTCATCATGCTTCCAAGCATGCTCCCGGGAGCCAGAATGTTAAACGTTTTCACAGCAAGGAGCACACATTTACCCAAGCCTGCACGAGGCAGCAGTGGAGGAAGAACCATCAGCTTTATGAAGAACCTGGCACAAGACGAAGTTCCCAGTTACTTCCCATAGACCTCTCTGCTTTGGATACAATGACACAGAGCTGTTTGTGTTTTGGGTTAAGCGGCAAGTAGCATGCACCCAGCAGCAGCACAGGAGGGATAATCAAGAAGCCAAAGGCAGCATCTCTACTGTTAAAAATATATGTATATGTAGGAGGGAGGCGGAAAAGCAGTGGGTAAGACACCAGAACCAGAAGCTGGCTGGAGGCAGAGGCTGACGGGCAAAGCAAATGACCGCGTCCTTGATGGTTAGGCCCAGCATTTTGACCTACTGGAGGAGGAGGAGGAGGTCCTGTTACGAATATAACGAGTTGCAGTTTGAAAGAAAGGGAAAGCCAGATGCCAGACAGGATAGTCTTTGTCTCCAGAAGCAAGATAAAACTAAAAATAATCAGGGCTGTAAATTTAGCACAATAATTAAAAGCTGCTCTTTCTGCTCATTGACTGTTTTGAGGGAGGAGCAAGCAGTCATGGGTCTGGCAGCCCAGACGTGCAGCTTGGTCTGCTGGCTGCTTGTGGGGTGCTGTGCACAGTACTTGGGTAGCAATAAATCATTACCCAGTCTACTTCTTGCACAGCTGATAACAAGTAATGACATAAATGGCTTATGTGCCAAAGTTTCTCTACAGCCCTGCCCTGTTACCAGCAGACAACCTGGGCTCACGGAGGTCAGTGTCCTTTTGCCTTCTTTAGTCTAGAACAGCACAGCATCCTGGTGGCAACCCCACTTTGTTCCTCAAGAAAAACAAACAATGGAAAACTCCAGCCTCAACAGCCTTCATTCAGCAAGAGCTTCAAGCTGAAATTCAGCAGGAGACACACCAGGGGGCCTGAACTCAGTGCTGGGTGCCCAGCCGGCTTCAGAGCTATGAAGATGCATCTTGTCAACTGTGCACAGTCCACGTTGACAGGTAAGTGTCAAACTTCACCACACAGACACACCGGCAGCCAAGATACCTGGGCATCCCTGTGAACACCTTACGTGTAAGCAGCAGCGAGAATGCTTCAGGGAACACACCACAACAGTTGCTCATGTAGCGCTTAAACAATTGTCTCCACATCTGTACTGCTTTACAGATGTTCTCTCACTAGACAAGCCCCAAGAATGTACTTTAGATATTCCAAGTCTGATTAACCTCTGTAAATCCTTCAAAAAACCACAGTAATGTTACTTAAAATGCTGAGAGAGAGGACATTAATCTTCCTCATTAAGAGCATGAAGTGGGCTGTTTATCAACTGTTAATAGTGTTAATATCAGACAGCGCTTGCTTAAAAGATATTGCATGGAAATCAGCAGTCTCAACAGGGGAAAGCAGGGACTGATCTGGGCTAATCAGGTTCTCAGGGGATCAGGAGGGATGATGCTCATTACAGCATTCATTAGAGCAGTCTGCTACTAGATGGGCATGGTGAAATATTTTGGAACTAAGCAGCAGCTATGTCTGGAATTGTACACAGGACTTATGAAAGCATGCAAATCATCCTTTATCCACTTTCCAAGCTAAGCTTGGTATAAAAGATACCATCCTTTTCCTTCCAAGACTGAAACAGTAGCCTGGCTAATAGTCTATCCTCAGTGTTTAAGCTACAAACCTTCAATTTAAGGGTAAGGAGGTAGCATACAGAGTTGCAAATTGAAGCTATACTGTAATCTCCTAGCTGGCAGCAGTTCAAAGGGAGGACAATCCTTTGTTGCTTACGTGTTATCTATCATGAATATTCCCAAGTTCCCACACTCCACAGATCCTACCCACAGCACTGTGCACACCTGAGAGAAGAGTTCTGAACTACACACGGCAAAAATGCCAGCACAGAGCACAGAGGTCACTGCAGAAACGTGTGCTGCCCGAGCGGCTTTGTCAGGCATCACAGTCTGTAAATTAAGGGGTGAATGGAGCAGGGTTAAAGCACCCTAGCTGAGAGTCCAGGCAGGACTTGGCAACCAGTCCAACCCCCACCAAATGGGGACTTCTGTAGCTGTAGTTACCTTCACACCATCCTTGGTACCGGTCCCTCCACTACCCCCAGGAACAAGAGGTGCTTGTCTCAGGAGCAACCTTGAGCAGGATGTCACATCTCCAAAGCATACTACCCACTACAGAAGACCTGAAAAGATTGGTGCAATTTTTCCCACTTCAGGTAACAAAATTCACCAGTGTATCTCCATTGAACTAGATTGCTGGTTCATTTATAAAAAGCAAACACAGTGAAGTAACAAAATACAGAAGTTTATTGACAATTGAATGATTTATCATTTGATTTCCAATCTCCTCCTGTCCTGGAGAAATGTCCTAATCAATCTTACTTGATGAGTTGAAAATGTGGTTTAGATTCCAAAGAAAGAAGTGCAAGAAAATGAACACAGTTTAACTAATTTAAGGCCTAGTTGGAAGTTGCTGTTTAGAAGACAGGCACTGTAGCCAATGCACATCAGGTAGTAAAAGGTGCCAAGCCCAAGCTCAGTATTACAGACGGCGATAGTCACAGCAGTCTCCTCAATGCAGAAAGCTGCCTCCGGTTGGGTTTTCCACATGGCAGCCCCTTCAAACCCTCTCAAGTACCAGAAACAAGGAATTGAAACAGACAGATGTGTCTGAGAATCAGGCAGATGCCAGGCATCGTGGACTCAGGAACAGCTGCTGGGAAATACATGTTTGGAAGTAACACAAATCCATGACAGGGTTGCAGTCAGAATCACTGCCTTGCTTTCCTGGGGGTGGGGCAGTAACAGGGACTTCCAAACCTATCTGAAAAGTACAAAGGCATTGAAATCCCTACTTCCCACAGCTACTTCTACCCTTAGCACTGCCCTATATATTTCACTTCCACCATTTGAAAAGGCAACTAAGTCTTCATGCAGTCATCCACCACTTCTGACATCAACCGAACCAAGCAGCCCACTGAGCACGAGTCACAGGATGTTTTAGCACCTGGCCCAGAGGCAGTTCCCCCTCCCAAAACAGCAGGGGACCTGGGCTAGAACAGCAGTGGGCTGATAACAACACAGATAAGGCCACTTGTTCTATGGTGTACCTGAACAACTCCTGTTTGGCTATGTCAAATTTAAAAAGTCACTATTAAATACATTGAACAGTAAGCACCTAATGTTAACATTCATATATCAGAGCCCTGGATATGATCAGAAAGTCCATTCAGAGAACAAATTATGGGAGCTACCCTCCTCAACAAACGTTTGTGCAAAACATGCACATCTTCCAAACACAATTTAAGACAGCCAGCTCAACCACAAGATTTGTATTACTAAAGTCTTTGTTTCTCCAACTAGGATAGTCTACAGCATGTCTCAAAAGAACTACAGCTGTGGTTTGGGGAGAATCCACATCCTTCTCCCAACCTTACCAACAAAAATCTGAGGCAAAGGCAAACATAAGGCTGACCAAACACACAAGAATTCACTAACAGAATCAGCACAGATAAACAAACAAAAAATACACTGTAGTAAAGAACAGTCCTGGTTTCCGCAGAGTACAAAGTAAGAAGCTTTGCAGAAGCTAAGGCGTTTCTATAGGAGTTGGGTCAAAGCTGGCTGACATGTCAGTATATTCTCCATGGTAACGGTACACTTCTGTTCAAAGAGCACCATAAAGCTAGTGTTTGCACCCAACCAGGATACTTTAAATAGAAATCTTCTAGAAGCACCTAAATGAAACAGTACATTGGACTGATATTATCACTTGTCAAGAGCTTGTCATAGTAATCAGCAGATTACTGAAGGCCTGAATACTCTGGGGAGGAGAAGACATGATATTTATTAACATATGATGGTTTAGGAGTATTAAAAGAAACTTTCAGGATGTTTTGTCTTTGTATCAGCAATTGTGTGCTGCAAAGCAAGAAAGGAGACAAAGAGAACCAAAGACTGGACACTCAAACCCATGGCAGCACTACTTGTCCCACTAGAACACATTTATATTCAAGTGACTGCAAGTCAGCACATACTGTGATGCCACATCTTAAGGAGAGCAGAGCCCTCCTGCTGTGCTTCACAGTCTTCCAGAGGTGACCTCCAGGTCCCCACTCACTCAATGTTGTACATGTTGACTACAAGGATAAGCCTGACTCCACAAGAGTGTCCTGAGCCATGAGCTAGCCAAGAACCTAACAGTCTGATGAACTCACCACAAAGCAGCACTGATCTTTCACAAAGTTACACTGATGTCCCCTCTGCCAGTCCCATACTCGCATCTTCCACAGGGCACCCTTTCCCTCCCCAGCCCTCCCTCCCCAAATCACCAGGATATCCTTCCTACACACGTTAGCATAACCTTCATCCATCTGCCTAAGAATCTATCCACAAACAATAGTCTATAAACTGACCTCCTGACCACAGACAAGAGTTTCTGTGCAGACTCCGTTAGTGAAAGTGAACGGAGGGCCCTAATAGAATGCAATACTGGATTTCCCCCCTGGCGGATTGAGAACTTTGTTGTGTGAGCGTGGCCTTGGTCCCAGTCGGGGCTCATGATTGTCTATCTTGGGTTCTGGCTCCTTGCATCGCTCCTCTTTGCCCAGATCTTTTTTCTCGCCTCCATCCTCCAGCTGCGGTTTGATATTTTCTGTAGCTGAATAAAAAGAAAACAAGGATTAGATCAACTTGCTATTCTGTAGTGCAAGAAGTGCCTCTTCATCTGTAGGCTGCATCAATTCCCACCTCTCCCATCCACAGGGCACTAAGGTTTCTCTGTATCTGTTCATTTTTCCATGGAGGACACAGATGCTGAGGAAAAATTTAACTTTTTGCAACAATGCCTCTCTTCCTTCAGCGATCTTTTCTAACAAGGATATGTAGCCAAGTCATATGCCTTTGGAATTATTTTGGCAGTTTCAAGCAATTAAGAGATGCAACATCCCCTTGAATCCTCTCACACTGAGCTCAAAAGCAGCGTTCCCATCATTCTTTAACAATAACTAGCTGAGCAATAATATGTTTTGTCAGTCAGCTATCTGTTATTTACAACTATGGAAGGCCAAGATTACACACTTGAAGGATATGGCAAGAGAGGAAGCAGCAATCTGATAAGATGTTTTTGTATACATATACAGATTCTATACGTATCTATATACATACATGTGACATCAAGCAAAGTAGATACACACACCCCTAGTATCCAGATTTACACCTGTGGTGTTCTCCTCGGTAAGAGGAAGAGAACCGTTTTGCTACAGTCAAATGATTAAATTTCTGACTCTTGGAAGGAAAACTTCTCAGTTATATTATCCTAAACACCAGCCTTGGTCTTATGTTTTTAAGAGGAAGCATAAGAAACTATTTCTCTGAGCTTATCTTCTCAAATAAGGGAATTTCTCTTGCTGACCTTCCAACTTCTTCGGTGTTTCATCTTCTTTCAAGACAATGTGATCCTGCAAGGAAACCAAAACCTATCTTAGTATATTACTGTTCTCGTCACAAAATCCTTCAGAAAGTTATGCTTTGTTTCTAATCTAAGTTTATACGTTTATCACGGGAAAAGTCAACAGCTGCTTACACTGTGTGCAGCCCCGCAGCTGCACTGCTGCCTATCCCCAGAAGGCTGGCAGAAGGCAACTCCCATGTCACACCAAGGTGCACACCTCAGACAATTCATTGAAATGCAGATGATGACACTACATTAGTTCATTAGAGGCTTAAAACTTTGTTTGTGAGAAACAGCTCTGTCCAAAGGCCTGGAATTGCTGTTCTTGTCAAGCACCCTATTTATGTTCAGCAATTTCTGTCCTCCTGTGAATATCGAGAGACCCAAACAGTCAGGTAATTAACAAAACCCTTTAATACCATTTCCCCAGCAATTCCAAGTGACTGTCAGCAGCACACAGCAATACTTGAGAAAAACTTGCATGTTTTCCCACCCATTAAACTCTACCTGCAGTAGTTTTTGTAAATATGCTATCTGCTTTCCATCCCAGTATTTCTCACAATTCCAATGCTCTAATTAAAGACATAGGAATTTCTTAAGTGTTGTCCTGTTTATCAGGAGTTCATAAAAAATAATGTTACATTTTTAAAAGAGCAACTAAAAAGAATCAGAGACCAGCCCAATAAAGGTGTACAGAGGAACAAAACAAAGCCCTTCCCTGCACCAACAGCACTACTGCTGAAAAAACCTAGTTCGCAGTCTTCTAAAAAGAGGAGAAAAATCTTTCTCCTCTTTTCTTATGACCAAATCCCCCAAAATACACCCCAGAGCCTGCATAAAAAGTCAGGTAAAGCACACCACCAGAACCTTCAAATTTAAGGGGAAAAGGAGGAAAAAAAATGGACTAATCTTTTCTTCCTAAGGTTCCAGGAAAAATGAGACTGCTGCTACTTTTTCAGCACTAAGTCAGTCAGCTGTATTTCATGGGATGTTAAGTTCCTGTGCTATCCTACATGCCAACAGCACTGCCAAGATAGTAGCTACTCACTCAATAGCATCTTAGAGTAAGGCAGCAGGTTGTAAATCTGAATATAGGGCATTTCAATACAGAAATAAAGTATTTGGCAATGTAACCTCCTTTTTTTCCAGAATAAATTGGGTCATAACTACAAGACTCTCCAACTATTACACATTCCAGCTTTAAGATCAAAAAACAACAACTGATATAGCAACGCACACTTTTGCCTGGCATCACAAAGTCAAGTGCGTTGCAGACCTGACACTCGAACCTGATCTCATTATCCTTTTCACTTTGATCACCGAAGCTCAATCTCCTGCTAAAGTGCTTCCATGTTGCTCGTAGGTGGAAGAGAGGTGAAGGGCACAGCCAGGCTACATGAAGAATTATGACTGTAGCCCACTAGTGCTCACTGACTGTCCAAAGCTGGTATCAAGCTCACCTCTGCTAAATTGCAGAATAAAAGGAAATATCCTACTCCTGGTTGTGTGCCAAGAACTCCAGCAGGCTTCTGAAGCATTTCTTCCTCCTCTTTTTTTTCCAAAACACACATCCACAGTCTAATTAACAGTTCTACTGCAAACTACAGAGCATGCTAAGATCCCATGCACCAAATCTAACAAGCTATCAAATGGAGAGTTCAGGAATAACTGTCTAACTTGAAGTCATCCTATGCATAATTCATCTGATAAAGAACACAAGCACTGAATTGTGACAAGACAGAGACAACTCGCTGAGGTGCCAGCTCCTTGGTTTGACAGTGCAAGAAGTACAAATACCTTGGGCTTGTTTGGGTGCGCTCGCACAACACTGGTAGGTACAGGAGACCCAAAGATATCACTTGTCTTCCCACCAGGAGGATTCACGCGTGGACGAGGCTCAGCAGAACCAGAATCCTCAAAAATACCACTTTCTTTTCCCCCTGCAAGGCAGTTGTTAGATTTATCATTTTTTTTTCTAGATGACTTAGTTTTACCACACTATATTAAAAAAAATTTAAAAAGATATAAGAATTCAAAGACTTCCAGAAACCTACTGCCCAGAGACTTACTTTTACTTGCCTGGAGATACTAGCTGAAATCCTTTGTTACAAGAATTCCCTAGAGGATCTCAGACTCACAGCTGTACTAACTGCAGCTAACTGATGACACAGGTCTCAAATAGAAGCAATTTCATCATTTCCTAGACCTCAACTTGGAAAGGATTAGACTTGTGCTAAAAAGTCTGTGAACACGTAGATCAGTGAAATATTCCTATATTCAGAAGTCTGAATAGCTTTATTGTTCAAGCCCACTCATAAAAAGACAGACAGATCCCAGTGTTCCACTTTAGGAATATGAATCCAGTTCTGTGCTGCAATTCAGAGCCCAGTCACACTGAAGGTGGTGGCTGCTCTTACCTGGAGGGTTTGTTCTTTTTGGAATGTTTTGAGGTTCTTCTGAAGCTCCAAAGATATTGGATGCCATCCGGTGTGGCCTGCTTGAAGAAGAAATTTCTTCTATACTTCCAAAGAGATTACTAGATCCTCCTCCTGGGGGCTTCAGTACCCTGTATTGCAGAATGAGAGAAGCAAGAGAAAAGTTTGTTTGAAATTTACAGCATCCAACATATTTTATGTCCCCTCCCCATTCTCCCTTGTATGTTATGAATAACTGTTCTGATTTGAACTTACTCCAAGTAACTCTGCTATGTCCACCGGGTATCTTCAAGAGCTGTTCTAATAAAATATTCTCAAGTTCAGCACAAATACTGCCAGCTTCCTAATCAGTCAACTTGATCATTATGTTATCTACGATTATCTGGAATGATCATAACAGCACCGCCAGAACCAGACCAGTCTGCTAAACTGCACCTACCAACTTTGCACCTGTGACACAATGCAAAACCGTTGACTTCTAAATAAAAGTAGACATTTCGTAACTACTAAAAATTTACTAGTTTCAACCATTAGTTATCACATTAGCTGCTGCAGAGTTTAGAACAGAGAGGCAGAATGCCAAGCAGCCAAATTTTTAGTGGTCAAGATGCAAATCCATTAAAACCAAAGCTTGGCACTGGAGGTATTTCAAACAGATCCTCATAAAAATTGGAGGTTACAATGGACTGACTTCTTGAAAACCTACCGAAAGTCATGCTTGTCCACAGTTAATACCTATGTTCAACAGATTTCAGGTCCTGTCCTGAACAGGAACTGAACCACTATGTGGGAGTAAAATCAGTGGAATTAAGTGGAAAACTAACAGAAAAAAACATGGGAAAGCGTTGAATACCTAGGTAACAAAAATAATCTTTACAGTTGACCAATAGCCCACAATCTTGGCAACTGAGCAAAAACAGTAGCTGAATTATACCTCTCTTAATCCAAATACTTTATCTGGGACCTAAACTAACCAGTCTTCTTTACACAAAGAGAACAGTTATAAATTGCAAGATCTTTATCCCACTCTACCCAAACAGAATTCCAATGTCAGTGAATTAACACAACATGTGCCCTCCACAGATCTGTGACAGAAGCAAGCCATTTCAGGTTAGATATCTGCCATGCATAAAAAGAAGTTCCTCTTGGAGCCAAGATCTACCCCAATTTAATCCTAAAACCGAATTTCACAAACATAGAGATATTTGGCTACCCTGTCAGAAAATGAGCTTTGTCAGCATTTCAGATCTCAGGATGCAGAAAGCAGTTTTATTTGTTCTGGAAGGAAGGAGGAAAGAGTTCCTCTTTTAGCCTGGGAATAGTTCATATAGTCAGGACTAGCCTCAGAGAGACTGTCTTCACTGGCCAATATCAGTATTTTAATCCTTGGTACAATAGTGAACTTAAACTCCTTTAGCTTGAGGGAGTAACTAAAACTTCAACAGACAGGATAACCACCTCTAAGCAGAAGGTTTATTTACAATTTAGCGTCCAACAGACACTAAATTGTAAATCCAACTATGTAGACAATAACTAATCCAACTATGTAGACAATCAACAATTGTAGATCCAACTATGCTATAGGTTTGAGGCAGTTTAAGCATTTAAACTTGGAAGATGGAAGGAACAGAAAAGGGAACAATTAAAAAAACCAACCAAACCTAGAGGAGTTTGCGAAGGGGCTCCTGTTAAAAAGTAGGCCTGCTAATATCCCTCATATAATTTAAGTGATTTCAGACTTTACCCATTATTTTCAGTTTTGTTTTTTGTTTAAACACTTCTAGTCTTTCTTGAGTTCTAAATATACTGTCAAAGAGAAACATAGTTTATACAAATGGAGTTTTTTACACTATAGATTCACTCTATATACCATGCTGTTTCCTTAAGCCCTCCTATGCTTGTAGGCATGTGTTAACAAAATAACTACATTCAGATTGTTTTGGTTTAAGAAAAACAACCTATCATAAGAACCAAATTACTTCCCGTTCCTGCAACTGGATTTAAGATTTATTGCAGAAAAAAATTCTAGAGAAACCCCATTTTAAGATTAAATGTCTTGATTATTCAGCCAACAAACTTAATTATGAATCAAAAGAAATCCAACACTGATTAATCTTATATTGTCCTCCCATTTTCAGCTCAGTATACATACTAAGAAAACCCTACTCTTGCAATCAACAAATCAGAGGCACCACTTTAGGTGCTTACAAGGCACTCTGAAATCAGTGTAATAGGTGACCTTTTCTGCCAGCGTCACCCAAAAGAATGTCTTGACTCTACACACACAACATGGATTTGCTTCCACAATTTCAGACACTTCTAATCACTAGGAACCTTCCAAATATTCCATAAACTTTCAAGTGACTGTGATACCAGGTCCATAAAATTCTAATTAATGCAAAGTCAGATAGCTAAGTCATTCACAAGAATCACCAAAAATAATCTTGATGTAACAAGATCTTCCAGCTTATAGCAAAGAGAACAGGGTTTTGAACTCCTTCACTTCAGCCAAAACCCGGGGAGAGCACAAAGCTACCCTCTTGCTGTGTAGCCTCAAGAGCATCGCTGACCTCCTTGTACTCCCATGTCACACCGTTGCAGATCAGGGAGATATGCAGGTCCCACATAACAAATAAGAAAATAAGACTCAGCCTGTGAATGTTAAACTTGGTAAGACAGCAGAAGCTGCTTCAACAGAGTACAAGGAAATTCAACATACACTTTATACTAATTTTAGTTTATAGTCATTTTATATTGGTATTATGCCAGTTTAGATAAAGAGATATTTTGGTGTCTTGTAGCCAGATAAATTAGATTTTCTTTCTTCCTTTGGGAGGAAGGAAGGGAAGAAGGGAAGGTGTTGTTTTATTCTTTTAAACAGTAATGAAAAAAAAACCACCTTTGTTTTCTATGCAATTTAAATCTGTCTGTTCTCCCCCTCCCCTCCAGTAGACTATAAGTCTGTCAATTCATCTAGAACAGCTAAATTAAGAACCCTACCCTTTAAGTTTAAAAGCCTCTACTAATTGCTTTGTTCTCTTCTGGCAGGCTTGAAGAATTTTAATTAATTCTTGTGGTCTTTTTCCCTACATTCTAACACACTTGAATTTGAGCACCCTTTCCTCATTAAACCTTTCAGTCAAACTACAGAAGAGGTCCCAAGACTTACCCATTCATTCAAGACACCGGCTATATAAATACTTTTTTTTTTTTTTTAATTCTGTCTGAAAGTTAAACACTGAAGTCCTACTGTTTTTCAGACAGTTCCAATAAAGCAGGTAAAACAGAAGAGTTGCATTATATGCGAGAGACCCTCACTAAGGTAACCAGCAGAAAGCAGGTGTTAAGGTTTGGAACACCGGCTCTAAAGCAAAGACCAGAGAGGTACTGGGGGCTCTCCTGCTGTGGGATCAATACAAATTCATGCCTCATGTCATAAACAAACAACAACCTTTGTTATGTCAGTTACGCGCTCTATCAGAAAGCTGGATGATGTTCTACAGTAACACTGATGGGGAGGAAGGGAACAGGCGCATTCCCTTTCCAAGATGGCCACATTTTGCATTTTCAGCTCTGTACAGTAGTTGTGAAACTGCTCATATGCTACATGAGTGGATGATACATAAAATCAATGCATCCTGATCGTGTGCACCAACAGCAGAATGATAGAATTCTCTTCTGCTTTGCTTTCAGAGCAACAGCAACTCTTAGACACGCAACTCCTCATTTTATTTTGGAAAAGCAAAACTTCCTTAAAAATGCAAAGCATCATTATTGAAGTTTAATAAAATAAAACTAGGCAGTTAATTCCATTCATCCAACTAGCTGTTTGCTATATCACTGTACACATTAACTGGATCACTTGAGATACATCTCACGAGGCAATTATTTAAGTAGAGGCTTTCATTTAAAGTATTTTTGGCATCCTTTATTTCTAATAGTAATACCTCTGTATTATGAAGTTCTCAAAATGCAAAGTATCTGTTTATAATTTCCTCACAAAGATTTTCACATTTCTCCATTAGGAAGAGTTATTTTTTCCCCCCCACTTCCACAGCTGTTGGCAGATGCTGCAGAGATTTTGAATTAGGCTCAGTTTTAATTAGAAAAACTTACACGTGTCAAGAACTGCAAGAGGATTTGCATTATCACCAAATAAAGTTTTGTTTAGGGAAAGAACAGAAAAAGCGTCTTTAAACCAAGTACTTTTTGCTTCTGATGGCGCAGGCTGTATGTCAGTAATCACTGTCTCGGAGCCCACCCCATGCCATCCAGTAACGCGGGTCCCGCAGCGCGGCCGCTCGCCCAGAGCCCTGCTGCGGCGTGTCGGGCGGGAGGAAAACACCGCCTCAGCGCCAGAGAACACGCGCCAACACAATCACCTTTGCTTGCTGGTAACTAAAAAGTTACGGCCTGCGTTCCAACTCCATCCATAAACCAACTTTACGAGTTAAACGTGGTTTCAAAATTACCACGAGAACAAAAGCTTCTCAGAGACTACACGAAGGACAGAACATCCTCACTAGTCTTTTAAAACCGGGTGGTAACGCAGAGCGCCCCGACACGATTTCGAAACACTTCCTTCCCCTCCGAGCACATGACTACCTCGCAGACGGATTAATCGCTCCGGCTCCAAGTTATTAGGATATATGCCCTTGTATCTATGCATAACAACGTACTTCATGAGGCGAAAACACGCGAACGTGCGCTTACGCGGGCGTTTGTGTGGCACCCTCTTACAGCTTCGCAGCGCGGCGCCAGGCCCCGCTCCCTCCCCGCGGCGCCACCAACGCGGGGCAGGACGGCTCGGCCGCGCCAGGACCTTCCTCCCGCACCGCGCCCCTCGCCGGGCCCTGACCCCCGCCCCAGCCAGCTAACCCCCGGCGGGACGGGACGGGTCAAGCGCTGCCGTCCTCCCTCCGCGCCCCACGCCTGCTCCGAGCCCCGCCAGCAACGCCGCGCAGCCCCCGCGGACCAGCCCCATCCCCATCCCCCGCCAGAGGGAAACTGAGGTACGGCCAGGTCTGCGGCCACCGCCCCGCGCGGGCCTCCCGCCTCAGCAGCCACCGGAAGGTCGGGAGTGGCCTTCCTACCTGCCGCCGCCCAACAGGCCCCCTCGGGAGGGACTCAGTCCCCCCGGCAGCCCCCGCCTCCCGCTCCTCGGCTGGAGCCTGCCCTTCTCCCGCCTCTCCCTCGTCTCGAACAAAGCCCCGCCAGGGGCTCCGCGCCGCTGCACGGCTCGTCCCGTCCCCCCGGGCCGCCAGCCCGTCCCCGCTGCACCACCTGGAGCTGGGCTTAGCCGAGTCGGCCTCAGGGCCCCGGAACATGGTGGCGGACAACAGGCTCAGCCCCACAGCCCCGCGCGTGGCGCTTCTCCTCGGCAGCCGGGACCGCAGGTAGGGCCGGCGGACCCTCCCTAGCTCTCCGTTGGTTGGGCTACCTGCCCATCAAGCCGAGCAGCCTATCGAAAACAGCTCGCCCTCTCGATGTCCCGCCTGTCCGGTGAGCCTCGCAGAGGGAGGGAAGCTTAAAAAGGGCTGGCATCGTCGCCCGTTCATTGGTAACACCGTGCGTCAGTCAGAGGGAACTGCAGAGCTATTGGCTGAGAGGGCGGAGTGGGGCGAGAGGTGAGAGGGCGTTTAAAGGGCCAGGCAGGGTAATTCCACAGAGAGGTGCGCTCTGAGGGGCCCGGGCGCAGCCGCAGAGCGGGTGTACCCCTCCCCTCGGCGAGCCCGGCCCCGCCTCGGGCGAGGGAGCGCGAGTTGTCTCCGCGGTGCGCGGGCGCTCCGTCGCAAAGGGTTGCGGATCGGTCCGGGAGGGTCCCGTTCCGGGAGGCCCCCTCTGGGCATCTCACCCGAGCCGTCAGAACTCCGGCCCGCCCTAAGGAATAACCTCACAGCGGCTTCATAACCCGGGGGCTCCAGCCTCGCCTCCGAGGCCTCGCCCAGTGTTGCCGGACGAGAGAGGGCCGCGTCTCGGTCCCGCGGAGGCGGCGGTGGGGAGCGGGCGCGGGCACGCGGGGATGGGCCCTCCGCCCGCAGCCCCGCCACCGGCGGCCATGGCTGCCCCCGGCGCGGGGCGGGAGAGGAGGCCGGGTTGGGGCCGGGGGAGCCGGTGCAGCCGCCTCCCGGGAGCCAGCGCTTCGACCGAGCGCTTCCGAGGGACAGTAACGCTCTACGTTAACATTTTCGGCTGAAGGTTTTATTTAACGGCTCTACAGATTTTCGTAAGGGCAAGAAGTAAGTTCAGAGGCAGCCACGTTGCTGCTTTTGTCTTGTGGGATTAAAAAAAAAACACCAGACAATACACGAGAAATAAGTAACTGCAACATTTTCCTTTGATAATTGTTTTTTACTTCAGAGTCTTTCCTTTTGTTTTTACAGTGTTAAGCTTTGGTCAATGGCAAAATCAGATTGTGAGGAAAAAGTGGTAGGATTCAGTATCAGCTGTGACATAAGGTGGAAAAGAGTCGAAGGTCTGTCACAGCATGTTGGAGGTGAGAAGCCGCACAGAAAGTGCGCACACTTGGTCACACAGTCCAGTTTCCTTGGTACAGAGGTGGTAGAGAGGAGTCCTCACTTGTTGGATGGAAAGGAAGCATCTATAAGTATTATTAATAAAAGTTTTGGTGAGCTTTAAATGTTCCTAATTTCTTATCAAAGAACAACTTGGGTGGGAAGGGACCTCAGTGCTACCCCTGGGCAGGGACACCTCCCACCAGACCAGGTTGCTCCAAGCCCCCTCCAACCTGCCCTTGAACCCCTCCAGGGATGGGGCAGCCACAGCTTCTCTGGGCAGCCTGGGCCAGGCTCTCACCACCCTCACACCAAACAAGTTCTTCCCCACATCTCAGCTCCATCTCCCCTCTTTCAGGGTCAAACCCTTCCCCCTCCTCCTAGGGCTCCAAGGGGGTCCCTCCCTAGCTTTCCTGGAGCCCCTCGAGGGACTGGAAGGGGCTCCAAGGCCTCCCCAGAGCCTTCTCTTCTCCAGGCTGAACCCCCCCACCTCTCTCAGCCCCCCCTCCCAGCAGAGGGGCTCCAGCCCTCCCAGCAGCTCCGGGGGCTCCTCTGGCCCCACTCCAACAGCTCCATGTCCTTCTGCTGTTGATGGCCCCAGAGCTGGAGGCAGCACTGGAGTGGGGGGCCTCCCCAGAGTGGAGCAGAGGGGCAGAATCCCCCCCTGACCCTGCTGGCCACGCTGCTGGGGATGCAGCCCAGGGTGTGGGGGGCTTTCTGGGCTGCCAGCACACATTGCTGGCTTATGGTGAGCTTCTAATCCACCAGCACCCCAAGTCCTTTTCCTATCATCTAGTTAAAGAACACTTCTGCACTTTCTCAATGCCAAATTTAACTAAAGCTGCCTTCATATATTGCAAGACCAAAATCCTAAATGTGTACCAAAAGGAATTAGACATTAGGTTAATGATATAGATCACAGGATAATTCAGCTTGAAAGGAGCCTCAGGCCTGGAGTCTAACCTGCTTGAAGCAGGGTGAGCTACATCAGACCAGCTTCCTCTGGGCTTTATTCAGTTTTCTCTTGGAAAACTTGAAAGACAGACACTGCTCAACCCTCTCTGGATAACCTGTTCCTCTTCCCAGTTGTCCTCAGGGTGAAAAAGTTTTTCTGGTAGTAGCTATCTAAAACGCGATGGCCTGAATACAACCTCTACATCTAAGTTCCCACTTATCTGAAGCTGGGAAGGTAAAAAAATCTGGGGGGGTGGAGGAACCCAAAATATACACACCCTTTTTACTGTACCCTTTTGCTTGGTGCGGGGTTCCACCCCACCCCACTCCCCCCCTTTCCCTTATTACTGGTGACCATGCACAAAGACAGGACATTAGGCCAGACTGCACTCTGGTTTGGCTCATTGCTAACACTGGCAATTAGCAGACACTACTGGGGATGGAAGCTGTAAACCAAAGTAAAACAAACCAGCCAAGACCTTCTCTCACGATGGGGAACATCATGAAACGTCTGCAATGGAAGATGTCAATGGAAGCTATGCCACCGACTGCACTGAAACCAGAGTTTCACCTTGGAAGGCTTGGCCTTATGGACAGATTATTAACCCCCCTCACCAAGGGGCCATTATTATGTAAATAAAGGTTACATGGAAAAATCTGATGGGGCAAGTAACACACTGGACATAAGTTAGACCAAGTATTAGTATGTATTTATGCACAAGAATAAAAACAGCTTTACAAGTTGAATTGGAAATTTAAACAGAGGAAGTTTAACAGTTTTTGTATATTATATTAAATAACCAAAACACCTTTTTCCAAAATTGGTAAAGAATAAATAATATAATTTACAATATGGTACAAAAAATAATCAGTTAAGGACAGGCATTCTGCTTTATACATACACTATATAGGTATATTTATAATCTATAAAACAAATTCACATCTCCAACAAGCCAGAAACCTTAGATGATATGGCTTAACTATTATTAAAAGAAACAGCATTAAATTTTGCTGCCAGAACCATAAGCTCTAAAGCAGTTATCACGTTTTGATAATTAATGATAACTTATTGCCGTAGTGCCTGCCAAGGTTTCACTTAGTTAACATTTACAAATTGTTCTGAAATTAAGAGATTCTAAGGTTTGAAAAGGTTACAAACAAAAAAAAAAGTGCAGTACTTTCCTTATAAATGCATCTGAAGTCTGAGTGTGAAAAACAAAATGCAACTTAGTTTCCATTCTGGGATCTGTGGAGTCAGTTAATGAGATGTCTTTATAGACTAATTTGATCCAACCTATTTCATTCAATTTAGAAATATGAAGAGGGGTGTCAAGAAAAGGTTTAACAATGCCATATTAAAAACAATTAGTATTCCTATGCTTAGTAGATTTAGTTATAAAGGATAACATGAATTGTGTGGGCAATCAGAATGCAACACGCAGCAGAAAACCCAGTTAGTGCACGCACGCACATACAGGTAGAGCTAATTCTCAGGATCTAGTACTGCTTTTCACCCACACTATGACGACAACAAATACTGAATTTTCTGCCATTCACCTTGCTGAACTACTCAGAACTTCCTTATTATATATTGTCACTAAACCAACATGGGGAAATCCTAAAGCAATACTGGAGGTTGTTATTGTCCGTTTGTCCCCTCCAACCAGCTTGCAGTGCCCCAGGAAGCTGTTCCACTAACACAGGAGCGTTTGCCTCACCGCCAACCCTGCGTGTTTCAGTCTCTTGCTCAGGACAGGTTGACATCGTGAAACTCACAGATTTTGTCACTTCTGCTGGGGAAGCTGAAATGACTAAAATTGAAAGAGTTTTGTGTTTTACAAAAAATAAATATATATATACACACATAAACATACATATATAGATGCATGTGTGTATACACACCCCTCCTATACCCCCCCCCCCCCCCCCACTTTTCTTCTTCACGTCGTTACACA